ACCAGTTGACAATCACAGTAGTAACTTGTTTTGCAGCTCTGGATACATTTTATTAGTGAAACAAGTAGCAGAAATGGTTCTTCCTCCTCTGCTTTATTGATACATTAAGCTTTTTCTAGCATTTTGCTCTTTTTATCTTTTAGCGAACTGTTTTCTAATTTTGCTTTTATCTCACGTTCTGCTGCTTTTACCTAGCCTTTGGATATATTTAACTTGTGTTTTGCTTCTTTTAGCTATTATTTGGCCTTATGATACTTTTAAATATTAGTTGGTCTTTTGTTACATTTAGCTTTTTCTAGCCCTTTGCTACTTTTTGATTTACCCTACTTTTATAGACTTTAGCTGCTTTTTAGCTTTTAGTCAACTCTTTGCAAACTTGATCATTGGGCAATTTACTACTTTTAGCTTGTAGCTAAGTTGCTTCTTTTAGCTTTTTAGCTAGTGATTTGTTATATTCGGCTGGTGTTTTGTTGCTCTTAGGTAGTATTTTTGCTAATTTTAGTGTTTTAGTGTTCAGCTCAGCTTCAGTTTCAGTTATTCTGCGTTGACACTCACTGTATTTGTGATTTGTCCGACTCACTGCTGAATATTTGTCACCTGTCAGCCTGGTCGTCTTGTGTCTGAGCTCATACAGTTTTAATAACCGGCTTTAACCCAGTCCTTAAGTAAGAAGATCCTCAGCAAACCACAAACCTGCAGCTGCTGCTTCTCCCAGCAGCACTGCTAAATACCACAATGCAAAGAGAAACGCTGAGTTCACACCCAAAGAGCAGAGCAGATTTCAGGCTTTTTGTGTGTTTTAGTGAAACATCTCCTGAACCACTGGATAATGAAATGTAATGATTGGACTCTGAGGTTCAGATGGATCCCTCAGATGAACTGTGAAACGTTGCCARATAAACACCTTTTTCCTCGACTCCCCTCCCCCGCCAAGGCCCAAACACGGTCTTCTTTTTCAAACTTCTGTGGGTCAGCTGGTCATCGTTCCTCAGCGGTTCCTCAGCGTTTTATCAGCGGTTTATCAGCGGAGCCTCATCTATGATAAGCCCCGCCGCTGGTTGCTACAGAGCTGGTGTTTGAGCTGGAAGGCAGGCTGCAGCGTGCTCCGCCTGGACCGTGTTCWGCCTTGTCTGCTCGGCCCACACAGCAGACAGCAGTCATGAGGCTTCCAGTCAATATTAAGCCAATAAACACACATTTGTTGCCACACACAGTGCACACACAGAAAAAAAAACACCACTCAGTGTTCTGCGACTGTTTGGTGAGGAGATTAGACAAACTATTTCTGCTGGGTTCAAGCTGTGAACARGAGGACAGAACGACACTTTGACTGTTTCACTCGTTAGCACCCGCCACCCAAGGCTGAGTGATTTAATAATGTGATATGTACTCCTTCAAGGAATCCRGGGCCTTTCATTTAGTTATGTAGGCCAGCGACCTCAATAGTGACTAAATAAGGGGTTATGAGGCCGTTTCACATGTTTAAAACACTAATTTAGTAGAACAGCAACTTCTGTGAGTCGATAAAACAATCTTTACTTTTTATGTTGAGAGAGAGAGAGAGAGAGAGAGAGAGAGAGAGAGAGAGAGAGAGAGAGAGAGATGCACAACCACAGTAGCCATGATGCCATTAGGTTAAGCAGGAAAGGCTTCATTTGATAACCCCTCTGAGCCCATTAGTGAATCACATCAGGCATGACATCATCACATCC